CATTGTACTGACTCACTATCAATTGTGAATCGGAACAGGCGTCTATTTTTCTTGCCCCTGCCGCCTTGCACATGCGGATCCCGGCTAGTAAAGTTTCATATTCTGCCTCATTGTTTGAAGCCTGAAAACTGAAGCGTAGAGCATACTCGTACCTGTTGCCCTCTGGCGACTGACATATGACGCCTGCTCCACAACCATTTGAAGTAGAGCTTCCGTCCACATATACCTTCCATACTTGGTCTGGAACTTGAGAGTCAGGAGGACGAGTCATCTCTACAATAAAATCAGCAAAGGCTTGCCCCTTCACTACTTTTCTAGGCTCGAATGTAACTTCGAGGCTCTGTATTTCTATGGCCCATTTGATCATTCGGCCTGACGACTCCATGATGGTAAGTGGCCGCTTGATAGGTTGGTCTGTATACACGACGACTGCATGTGCCAAAAAGTAGGGCTTCAATTTTTTAACAGCCATGAAGAGTGCAAGACCAAATTTCTCCACTAGGGGATACCTCAACTCGGCATTTTTCAGTACGTGACTGACAAAGTAGACCGGGAGCTGACAGCCGTCTCTTTCAGCAAGGAGAACAGCGCTTAACGCATGATCAGAGACGGCCAGGTACATGTAGAGTACCTCTTTGGGCAAAGGGCTGACCAGCCTCGGCAAGGAATGCAAGTGAACTTTTAATTTCTGGAAGGCGGCCTCAGCATCCGGCCCCCATTCAAACCTTGCCTTTTTCTTAATTGCCTGGAAAAAGTATAGGCATTTGTCGCCTGATCGGCTTAGAAATCTTCCCAAGGCCGCCAGACAACCTATTAACTTCTGAACCTCTCGGATGGTACGAGGCGACTGCATGTCAATGACCGCCTGCACCTTCTCAGGGTTCGCCTCTATTCCTCTCTGATTGATAAGGAATCCGAGAAATTTCCCAGACTCAACTCCAAATACACATTTCTTGGGATTGAGCATGACATGGTGCCGCTTGAGTGTGGCGAAAGTTTCTCGGAGGTCCGACAGATGATCTTTCTGAAGTTTAGTCTTGACAATCATATCATCAATGTATGCCTCGACGTTTCTCCCAATCTGATCAAAGAACACAGTGTTTATCATTCGTTGGAAGGTAGCCGGGGCATTCTTAAGACCAAACGGCATGACCGTGTAACAGTATAACCCCTGATCAGTGACGAAGGTCGTCTTCTCCTGATCTTTCTTCCATAAAGGAATTTAATGGAAACCAGAATAAGCGTCCATAAAACTCATCAAGGCATGGCCGGCTGTTGAGTCGACCAGGTTATCAATTTTAGGCAGAGAGTAACTGTCTTTGGGGCACGCCTTGTTTAAGTCTGTGTAGTCTACACACATTTGCCAGGTGCCATTCGGCTTTTTAACAAGCACCACATTTGCAACCCAGTCTGGGAAGTAACATTGCCGAATGAACCCTGCATCAAGTAATTTTTTAACTTCGGCGGCTGCCGCCTGACTTCTTTCTTCGCCATGGTTCCGCTTCTTTTGTCGTACCGGCTTCTTTTTCGGATCCACGGCCAGTTTATGTACCGCCAGATCAGGACTAATGCCTGGCATTTCATGGACTTCGAATGCAAAGATGTCCTTGTATTCTTTCAATAGTTTGTGAAAGTTGTCACCAAGGTTTCTCAGAGCAGTCGTCCCAACTTTGACTGTTCGGTCAGGACGTGAGTCGTCTAAGATCAGGTTCGCATGCTCACCAGCCGGCTGAGGGCGGAACTCATCCGGCCGCTCCTCTGCCAATGATTGCTATTTTCTTTCTTTTCTTGTGGCCCCTGTCTGGGATGCCTTTCTCTTTTTGCCGCCTGCTTCTTGAACAGGCGCACTCTCCTTGTCAAGGTCTGCTTTTTCACCGCTTGACCCAGTAGCCATAACAGTGGGCTTGACATCCGAGAGATAGCACTCTCGGGCCATCCTCTGATCTCCCCTTAGGGAGCCGACTGTTCCATTATCCCTCTCAAACTTGAGCAACATAAGAGATGGGATTATAACAGCCTTGGAATTATTCAGGGTAGGTCGACCCAGAATCATGTTGTAGGCCGAGAGTTCCTCTACTACCAGGAACCGGACTACCATGTGTCGTCCTTCCCCTTTTTCTCCCAGGCGGATGGGTAAATCTACTCGTCCCAGTGGGTGGACTCCTCCTCCTCCAAACCCTACTAAAGGGTGGGAGGCCGGATGTATGCAATCAGTCTGATATTTTAGTTTCGACAGACATTTGCTACTGATGAGATCTGAGGAGCTTCCGGTATCTATGAGGATTCGGCCAACTCTCTGGTTGGCCACTTTACATTCAATAACGAGAGGGTCGTCATGCGGCCCCCTTACCCCTCCTAGATCTTCTTCAGTGATGACAATCTCAGGAAATGAATATTTGGACGGCCGTTCTGGTGAACGGAATTTACATCTAACCGCCTGATATTGTCTTTGTTGCCCCTAATAGTGGGGCCGCCTCCTGAGAAGCCGCCTGCAATGGTGTAGACGACTGCATCATCTCTATCAGAGCTGTCGGCCTGCTGATTCTTTTTGGCCGACTGCTTTTTTGAGGAAGTGTTCCCCGTAGATTTCTTGACATAAGTGTCAAGATCACCTTGCTCAGCCAGGCGGTCTAGGTACCGCGTGAGACTGATGCAGTCATTGGTGTGATGACCAACATCATCATGATAAGCACAAAATTTATCTTGGTTCCGGTTGTTTGCAGAACCCTTCATGGGGACCGGCTTCTCAATTGAGAACCGTCCCTTGATTTCTTTTAGGATAAACTGGTTATCCTTGTTAAACGCATACTTTGGGGAGTATGGTTTGAATTCTTTTTTCTTTTTCTGGGCCGGCTGTTTAGAGGAATCAGCCGCCCAGACCTCTTTTCTTTTCTCATCTTTGTTTGACGACTGTTTCTGTCGTCCTTCTCTTTTGTCGAACCTTTTCCCGTCCGACTGTTTTATCGTACAAAGATCAGTCGCCTGTATATAGGCTTCTGCTTCAATCAAGGCCTCTTGAAGAGTCGCCACCCTTTTTCGAACCAAATCAAATTTGAAGGTAGACCCGTCTTTGAGACCTCTGAAAAAGTCAGTATAAGCTACCTCATCCGGTAACCCTTGAATCTGTATTCTCATCAGGTTAAACCGCCTGATGTAAGAACGAAGCCCCTCCTTCTCGCCCTGCTGAATTGTTCCCAAATCAAGGGTCGTTTTCTTCGCAGGGATGTTCATGGCGAAGTTGGAGGCAAATAAGTAAGCAAGCGTCCTGAAGCTATTTACACAACCAGTCGGCAAGTTGCCGAACCATTGCTGTGCGATTCCTTTGAGAGTCGCTGGGAAACACTTGCACCAAGTGGGATCATCCAACCCTTGAAGGTACATCAGGTTGGTGAATGCCATCAAATGGTCTTCTAGGTTAGTAATGCCGTCATAGGCGCCTACTAGTACATTTTTCACTTTGGCCGGTTGAGCGGCTTTAGTAATTTCCTTGGAGAAGGCCGACGGCTGTTCACCAAGTCTAAGCAACCGTAGCTGCCAGTCCATAGGTTGGACGTTTTTTGCTGCAGGTCCACCAAACGTCGGTGGCTGCAAAAAATACTGTTGTTGCGGCACAAATGGTAAGTTTGGTACCGCCTGATCACTATGAAAGCCGGACTGACGGGAGGTGCCGCCTGACTGACTCTCATGGTACGACTGAGTATGCCTCATCGAGGCATTTCGCAAACTGTCTTGAAAGTTTGAAGTAGAGGCCGACTCTGACAATCGGTCACTCTTCTTCTGCTCTAGCAGTAGCCGAGCATCTGTGAATGTTTGCTTCGACCCGTCCGCCTGAATATGACGAACAGGTTTCCTATTTCCTGTAGGATAACGGAATTTTGTGAAATCAAGGGCAGGTGGCTCCCGCTTCCTAGATTTAGGATGAGGAGTCGCCTCTCGCCCTTGAACTGGCTTCCTCTTCAGTGAAGTGGAGGGTTTCTTGGCCGACTGCTCCTTGACTGGAGCAGGCGGCTTCTTGTTGATCAACTCTTGAATCTCTCCCTTGAAGTCCCTCATGAAGGTCATGAGTTCGTTCCTTGTGATGGGAGCTGACCCATCAGTCGGCTGTTGCCGAACAGGCGGTGCGCCTGCTGGCTCGCTTCTTGTTTGAAGATGCTCCCGTTCCCTCCTGTCGGTATGACGGGTACGTCGGGCCCTTAGGGTCCCGTCTGAAGCTGTATGAGCTTCAACTTCAAATTCACTTTCGGTATCATGGTCCGACTGAACTTGAGGGTCGTCTAGGGGACGCCTCTCTTCAGGAGTCGGTACAGACTTGGATGCCATCTCAGAAGTACTCTCCCCACAGACGGCGCCAAATGTTTCGGGGTTTTCTGATGTCCTGCGGGAGAGTTACAATTCCGAGACTGGAACCGGACGCCTGTACCTGCAAAATAACGGAGACTCCTGGGAGCTCCGCCTCCAACAGTCAAGTTAGTACCTGATTAAGGAGTAATTAATGCGGAAATTAAAGTGATTTGGTCTCTCTAGGTGAGAGTGTTTAATGTAGGTAATCTGCTTTGTTAGCGAGATCAGCCGGTTATTACTGTGTGTAATTAATGTGTTTTTTCCGTAATGTTTCTGTTCTCCCCCTTAATGAGGATTAAGGGAGGTATTTATAACCTTGGAAAACGTGCTCATCCTAGGTTTAAGTAAACCTAGGGCCGATTGGGCTTCCCTCGGAAGTTGGGCCTGGGTGGCCGGTTTCTCCATTAGGCATGGAGTATGCCACATGTCTTGACATAACAGGTCCAAGGTGGACGAATAAGCGCGTGCCACGTGGGAAGCCCTGACTGTTCCAATTGGGGGACACTTGGCAGGACCTGATTGGTCCACGTGGCGCATTTCGATTGGTGGGAGCAAAATCCCTTAATCAAGACCTATTGCAACGGTATGTGTTGTATATGAAAATTTTAGAAGCGCGCTTTCTTCCCTCTATTTTTTTCACCAAATATTTTGAACAGGTTTCTTTAATTTGCTTCCCTCTATTCACAATTCTCACGTAAAGTACCATTTTCCCCTTTTTCTCAATTTTCCCCATTCTCACCTTAGTTGATTATAGAGTACCATTTTCCCCATTTTCTCCATTTTCCTCATCTTCTCAGATTGTCAAATTTTCACAGTAGATGAGAAGGAGTACGTTTTTGTCGTAATTGTTGCATCCGCTTTAAAACCCAGACCTCAAAACCACCAACAATGGCGTCGGCTAATCCAGCAATGGCGCAACCACCGCCTGCACCACCACCGCGCTCATACACCGACCTCGACTGCGACCCAATATAATCTACGAGTTAACCCCCTTATGGTTCAAAAACGACCTCTTTCTCCCTCCTTTCGACTTCGAACCCTACATCTCTAACCTCCAAACCCAGTCCTCTCTCGCTGCACTCAATTAATCTCAAGTTACTGGTATGTATTTTGAAATAATTAAATTTATTCTAGTATAATTTGTTGAAAATGGCTCGATTTAATTGTTAAATGCTATAATTTCTCAAAAATTGTGCTAGTATTTGTTTAATTAGGGTTTTCGTAAGTAATTGCTTCAATAATTCTGATGTCATCAATTTTGTTCAATTAATTTTGCATTTTTGCTGGTTTGATTGAGAGAAAGAGAACGATTAAGGTGAGCAATCTTCTTGATACTCTTCCTGATCTACAGTCTTACCGCAGTACTACATTTTTTTAAAACTTATTTATGGTTTCCTTGCGTTTTTGTTTAAATTTTTGTGTTTTCATTTTTCCTGATTCTGCTCAAAAAAATTTATTCTTTACTATTCAATTTTTTGTGGATCTATTGTTGTACTGTAAAATATTCTATCCTTTAAATCCTAAATCAGAAGCAACTTTTGATTTGTTCATTTGAAGATGTAATTTGTATCCAGTTTCCAATAGAATTTGCTGGAGGTTAGTTATTGCCTCGAGTAAAGTCTATATGTTTCTGGATGTATTTGGTTTTTCTGCTTGGAGTTTTTGCTATTATTTTCTTCATGCCTTTTCCAATGATCTCATCGTACCTAATGTATTGCTCGCTCGGATTTGTTTCGAAAATTGCAGTATTATTGTTGTTACCTCCCTGTGAACTTGAAGCCATGGCTGATTAACTTCAAATAAAGATATATGGAACCAGAAAGATTATAAAAGAAAATGATACTGATATTCAAGTGAGGAAAGTGAGTTTAACTTAGATATTTATTGATGAAAGTGTGGTGGATTACGATTATATAGACAAATGATAATAGTTGTCTATATTTTTTGACTAAAAAGTGTTAAGGTGTAAGTTATGTTGTTTATCCATGTATAGGCAATGGACTTTATCCTAACCTCACTACCTTCAACTAACTTGTAATAACTTGAAAATGGACTTCAAAAATCAAACATTCATTTATGTCACCAGAATTTTATTTTTCAGTACATAGAGACCTTGCATGTGTGACTTTTGAGTTACTACGTATTTTTTCTATAAGATAGTTGAGTGTAGATTTTAGAGTTTAGATGAAGTGCATTAGATCAGTGTTGAGATGTTTGGTCCTTTGTGTACTTGCCCTACTTGGTTATTTAATTAGCTTTGTTTTTAAGATTTTGCTACAGCATGAAAAGAAAATGCTAGAAGACTTTTGACATTGCTTAAAATCCATCAGCGGTAAAATAAACTTATTGTGGTCTTTGTGGATACGGCATTTCAGAATTTGGGGAATCAAGGGTGTTAGATTTTTACTCTGTAATTCTGGTTTACATTAGGACAGGGGAATTTGTGTAATATTGATGGTAAGCTTAGAATATCTGGTAATAGTTCCTATTGAAATGAAGTTAGTTGTAATGGTTTCCTTGACATGATATGTGAGTATAGATTAGGTGGCAGCTGGCTAAAACAGTGATGCTAATATGCAATTTTGTTAAGTCCTGGTCTAAGCTATTCTTGTGCGGTTGTCCCTTGCTTTTCAATGTTCCATATTATATTCATATTCATTTGTAATTAAAAGAGAAGGCAAAAATAAGGTAAGTGGCCAACATTGTCTCTTGCCTTGTATAAAAATGAAGGCTATTATTTGTAATTTTTTGTATTCGAAGAGAGGATAAGATATTGGAATAAGTTTCAGCACTTAAAAGTGATTAATCTTACAAAGTGTTATATGCCCTACAATATCCCTTATACATTGCAAATTATCTACTTGTCTGCCCATTTGGAAGTTCTCGCTGTATGGTAATAATTTGCTTCATACAGTGCAAATTAGCATAGAAAGGAAAAGTTAACTTCCATATCAGTATAGTATGTATACAGAGTAAAATTTTATAACTTGTCTTGCTTTTCTAGTGTTGTCGTGTTGGTTTGATATAACATAAAGCTTGATATGAAGCTTGATATAACATAAAGCTTGATATAACACTTAGCTTAGAGTGTGTGCCACCATTCTCTTCTCCATTCCTATGACTTCTATATTTATGACAAAGATTCAAAGTTAAGATTTGAAATCCCAAAATAAAAAGAAGATAAGATCCTAGGTCTAGGTATATATATATATCAAATTATTCACAATTATTCTAATGGAAAGAATAAAGTATTTTAATTATTCAATTCTTAGATGAGACTCCATAAGAGTCTATGAGAATGAGAGGCTGAAATAGTAAAGAAATTAAAGAGTATGGTTTAGTACCAAATAATGTGAGACAAGATCTTTATTAAGTGTTTGTTTGGTTAACATTATAAAAAAAACGAAGACTAATTTAAAGTGTTTAATAGTGTGTAAATTGTTATTTAAGTGTGTTGATTAATGCTTTTTATAAATGATGATGATATTTAAGGAGGATATAAATTGTTATTAGTGTGTTGTTTATTATGACATAGATCTATAGGATTATTACTTGTTATTTTCAATAACATCTAAGTTTTTTTTAGACATAATGAAGATAAGTAATTGTAAAAATAGATCGACCTCTCGCTAGCCAGTCCATAGTTTCTTAGTAGGATGGTTTGAATTTCTCTTAGAGTGTGTATAGCCATTTTCTCCATTCCTATAGCTTCTCCACTTATTACAATAGACAATCAAAGTTAAGAATTCACTCAAAAAACAGGATGAGATAAAGACAAAGGATCTAGGAGAAGTCTAGGTGGTAATTCAAAACTCATGTTATTATTTTTTCCTTTATAGTCAGCTATTTCAAAGTTAAACATGCATAGTATTTACAAGATATTGCACTCAATACTAATGACATAGTAGTAAGCACATAGACAAGGAAGAATTTGCTTATTTTGGATACTAACATCATTCCTGATGCAAATGTCTGTAGGAGATATCAATAAAAATAGACATAGGAAAAACAAAAAGCAAAAATGTTAATTTTGAAGATAGTGAGACACTAATAATCTTCAGTATGAAACACAGGAAATCCTACACAATTATTCAGCGAAATCCCCTATGTATTGCACACCTGTCATGCACAGACTGCAGTGTAGTGAGCCCGAGAATATAATGTCCAACACCTCTTCTTCGGGTGTCCTTATTCTAGCATTATGGGGCTGCTGGGTGCAGGCTGCTGTCGTGTAGGTTCTATGTTGGTTCAGGCAGTTGGGCTGCCTGGTTGTGGTTGTTGTTTTTTTTGCCTGTCCTGCTTGTCTCTGCTGTCCTGAGCTGTTGCAGGGTTGAAGAAGGCATCCTGGTTTGGACTTGCTTTTCCCTTTTGCTTCTGGTTTGTTGCCTAGTTTCTGTTGCTGTCTTGTTCTGGTTTTGGCTAGTTATTGTTGCTGGTGTTCCTAAACCAATTAAGTATACCTTACGCCTAGGGAAGCGGATTTGGGGGTTTATTAGGCCTTAACCTCATTCTAGAAGCTTGTAATAAACCCTAATTAAGTATACCAATTAGGGTTTATTAACCTTAACCTTATTCCTAAACCAATTAGGGTTTATTACAAGCTTCTAGAATCCTCTAGAAGGTTGTTTTTGATCCTAAATCTCTTAGGATTTACTATTAGTTTCTAGAATCCTCTAGAAGATTCTAATTTATCATGTTTTTGAAAAGATAAAGATTTAACAATTTTACATCGGTTTTTTAATGATCCTAATTTCGGTCAAAATAGAATACGTACGGATATTCGGTTAACCCAATTCGATTGGGAATAGAATTCCGTACGGATTCAATCTTTCAATAACCATTGCTGAGCGACAACACCATCGCACCGCGACAAGCCTGTCGCGCCGCCATGGCATCTGTTTTACTCCGAGTCGGATTCTGACTCCTTTTCGATCCTTCGACCCTTTTTTCTTATAAATAGAGGTTGTTTCACCCCATTTTCAATGACCAACAATCATCATCTAATCCTCTATCTAAACTAAAGCTTTTCTCTCTCTCTTCTTTCTTGATTTCTAGCCTTAGCCTAATTACATCCCAACATGTCCTAACACACATTCTTTGATACTTTTCCCAAACAAACACCATACCTCCTTCACGAGCTTTGAATACTCCTAGCCAATCTCGAATTTGCCTTCTGCCTCGACATGAAAGGTTGATAGTTTTGAGGGTTTGGTCCCAAATCTATATCTTAATTCTTATTTGATTTATTTACTTTATTTGATTTAATCTTTCTTGAAGTTACTAACGTGTGTATTGTTTTGATAGAAAGAAATACGAGGTATCAAAGTGAGTAATTTGATCTCCCTAATATTTATTCCTTTGATATAGAAATCATGCTTAGAATATTATCTTAATTCCTAGTATCATGTTAGGATGCCTTTGTTATTTCTAGTATCATGTTAAGATGTATATTTTTATTCCTAGAAATCATGTTAGGATGTTGATTTTGATTCCTAGTATCATGTTTAGGGTGTTAAATAGTATTTCTAATACTCCCTCCGGTTTTTTTTTTTAATTGCAACTTTTGCCATTTTAGTCTGCTCAAAATTATGTGCAACTTTCTATTTTATTTCTATTTGGGTAAACAAAAGCCCTGAAAATTACTATTTTACCCTTACATAAAATTTGTAAATTTTTTAATTTTACCCCTTTATTAACCATAATCCCCCATTATACTCAAAACATCAAAATTATACTAATCTAATTACTCCCTCCAATTATTTCCCCCAACCAACACCAATCTCCCACATTCCCAATTACCCACATTTAAGTGGAGCAGTTTAGGTATATGTACTTCTAGAATTCTCTGAAGAACCCTAGATCTGGTTCTTCGTCTTCCTCTTCCTCTCTTCTTCGCGTCTGTAACTATCTCCATTCTACCTCCTCAATTCTGACATTCACTCCTCAAAACTTCGAAAACCTGAGTCCCCCACTATAATAATTGACGTAGATCCACTAGTCGACGCCTATATTGCAACCAATGACAATAGCGAGGTAAATTTCATCAAGTCCCTTATCCTGAATATCCAAAGGCTAGATTCTTTTCCTCGTCGACTGTACCATCATAAAGATGGGAGGAGCTGCTGTTCTCCGAGTACAATCAAGGCGTTAGGGGAAGTTCTTCAAAGGATGGATGAGGAAGAGAAAAGACAAAAGGGTGAGGGTGAAGGAGAGTCCCGTGGGAAAAAAGCTCGATTTCAGTCCTGTTTGTGTAGATATGAAGTGCAAAAGTGGGGAGGGAAGTGCTGTGCCCATCTCCTAGCCCAGATCTAACCCTTCCAGGCCGCCGGTGAAGATTAGGACAAAAAGGAAGGCGGCGTATGTGGGGGTTGCCTGACCAGGAGGTGATTGTGCTGTCTTCTGATGAGGAGGGTGAGAAGGGTGACGATGTTGAAGTGGTTGGCCCTCTTGTGAAGAAGCACTCTGCGAGGCGGATGAATCCTAGGGTTCAACCCTCCAAGTGACCCTTGCGTAACGACTCCTAACCCTACCTATCTTAATTTTTTTTGAAAAAAAAGAGTCCCTTTTATTTAATTTTGTCGATATCCTGTTGATTTCCCTTGGTATTTGGTTGGTGTTGTGGGATTTTGTGACTAGATCTGGATGCATGTTGTCTTGCTTGGCTATTTGTCAAATCCTGCTCTGTTGTATGCGTTGATCAGGATGCGTGTAGGATTGCTTGATTATTTGTGATATCCTGGCCTGTTGTATGCGCTGCTCTGGATTAATGTTGGCTTGGTTGCTTACTTGTGATCTCCTGCCCTGTTGTATTCGCTGATCTGGATTGCCTTTGGGTTGGTTGCTTACTTGTTGTATCCTGCTCTGTTGTATCCGGTGTTGTGGATTAATGTTGGCTTGGTTGCTTACTTGTGATATCCTGCTCTTTTGTCATGTATAATGTTCCTGACTTGGTTGGCTATGTCTGCTGTTTTGGACTATGTAACATGTATGCATGTGTTGGACTATGTAATATGGCATTTGGTGCATATGGGTGTTTGATTGATGAATGATGAGGCCACTGTGTGAATGCATTTTTGAAAGGCCCCCTGGTCATACCTTCAATTGTTCTCAATGATCAATTTAGTAGAGAACACATGACAGTCCCTTATGTGGTAGCATGACTTCTATTTAATCCCCTATTTGTCTGCGTTTTGTACTCTGTCTAAGTCCAAATGAGGAAGGGACTTTGTTGACCTTCCCAACCTACATGTGTCTTGCTCCAATTATGTGCTTTATGCTCTTGTTGTTGAGGTAACTGTGTGGGTTGGTGTGTCATTGAAATATGGAAAAAAAAACTTTTGATGGATTGAAGGGCCACATAACATCAGACAAATAACCATTTATATTCCATTGAACATGTGGTTACAAAAGTACTTTACATTAGACTGCCTAACATGTTTGATCATTGTATTCAACAAAATACACATAACCACCTAAAAAAGAGAACATGAAAACAAAAAATAACCATACCAATTGTAACTGGTTATGTGTGGCAGTCCATGTGTTTCTACTTTGATGTGATAAGTCCCTCAGTCTGCATCTACCTCAATGTCTTCTGTTACTTGATCAGTCCCCTCATTCACTAGCCTAAACATAGTGTTTAGGTACTCCACTGCCTCCAAAACTATTTCCTTCTGCACTGCTACATGATTTGGCAACTCTCCAAGGTTTTCCAATTTTTACTTGTTCATGTGGGGTATTTTGTACTTGTTTCCACCTTGTACTTTGAGGATCTCAATCATGCACTTTTGCAAAGTTAGCCAAATGTACTTGTTGACTTGTGGATTGAATGCTTCATAAGATTCTTGCACTTTTGTAACTAACTCATCTAGGTTGGTAGGAAAAGACTGGTATTGCAATGATTGAATTGACCTAAACAACCCTAAGTCAAGCACATTCAATTCTGGTGATTGTGCTGGTTGGAAAACAAATAGGATGTTAAATCCATTAGCTGTTGTTGCTGCCATAAACTCTGCATCATTAGGAACTTGGTGAGGCATTGCATTGTCCCATTAAATTACAATGTTTTTTGGCTGACTGTCAGGCCACTTTGAAATAATTGCTGGAATGACATTGGTCACCAACATGTCTCTGATAACCTCTATGTTCACATTCTGTATTGCCTTTGTTTCCCATGTTCCTGCTACTCTGTTTTTACTTGATTTCTTGGCTAGTTGTTTGACTGTGAATGGGAATATTTCATATTTCCCATCACGGAGTAGTCCCCCATCTGTGTCATACAAAGGCTTCCCAATTAAGCCCATAAACATTGCTTTGAGCTTGAATCTTTTGGACTGTATAGCCATATGAGGATCTTCCTCACTAGGTAGGAGGTAAAACTCCTCTTGTCCGGGTTCAGATAGAACCATTTTTCATCCATGTGTATGACATGGTTCATATCAACAAATGTTGGGTCCTCATTACTTGCCACTGGATTTATGTGTGATAAAATCCATTTCAGCCTTGTAATCTTGTGGTCTAAGGTCAATGCTGGCTTGTTGATACCTGTGTGTGTTCTTAACCTTCCCTTTTTCTTCAAATTGTGGAGAGTCGAATGGGAGATTTTTAAGGCTGCTGCATAACTCCTTTATGTCTGCCTTAAATGCAAAGGCATAGATTGTAGGAATGCATCAGAAAATTCCTTTTCCTTTCTGCCTACCCTGCCCAACTTTTTGGTCCTGACATCAATTAAATTGCCCCGTGCCATCTATTTCTTTACGTCTGAAAATATTCTTGTGATGGTTGATTTATGCACATTGAAATGAACTGATAATTGCTTTAAGTGACCTCTTGGTAAGTTCCCTTGATGCATGTTTACCAACATTGAGTCCACAACTTCCCTTCTTTGTTTCATTGTCAGGTTTTTTCTTTGTATGTGTTGAGTCCCATGGTGAATGGGTTGTTCCATTTCCTGGCCCCCAGCCCCAGCTTGTGTTTCATCTGTGTTGTGCTGCCCTTGGTCTTCTCCTTCTGTATGTTGCATAATTTCATCTTCAGAGTCATAGTAATCCATACCTAAATCTTGCATATGTTCTGCATAATCGTAGTATAATTCTGCGACTTCTTCTTCTATTAGAATCTGATCAACATCGAAGTACATAGCTTCAAATGAGTCTGCCATGGCTGCCTAACGTGTTTTGTTTGTTTAGCTTCAGCTGTTTGATGTAATGGTGGCTGCTCTGTTTTTGGGAAGAAGATGAAGGACGAAGAAGAAGCAGCTGCCTTTGAAGGGTTTAGGGTCTTAGTTGGGCATTTTTTAATTTCAGATTAGGAAATTTTTTTGGTATATATTGGGCTAACACTTTGTAATTAATATGGTGGACTAACTTTTGAAGGAAGAAGGTTTAAGTTTTTGTGAACATGAAAACAACATTGAATGCTTCTAATGGAGGCTGTATTTAAATGCCTCATAAATATGTATTGCAATGACTATTTAAATGCTTCAATGTTTGAATGTTTGATGTTTTGTTTTTAAAATTTTGGAGGGAATTGAAAATTCCCAAAATTTCAGCCAAAAGAAAATTTTAGGAAAAATTTGGGGGGAAAATTCAGCCAACATTCCCACTACTTTCCCAAGTGGTGGGCCAAACTTTCTCTCTCCACACACTTTAATCATCTTTAATTAACCCCACTACTACATGCCCCTTAACTTTTGCCTCGTGAACCGCAAATCACACCAAAGTTGCAATTAAAAAAAACCGGAGGGAGTATCATGTTTGTTTTGGGTAAAAATACCCAGGCCACGTGGCCCAATAAGAGGGTGACATGTGTCACCTTAAGAGAGGTTCAAAATGAACCTCTCCTCAGCTGACACGTGGCACTTCCAATCAATGGGAAAAAGATGGCCTTCAGGGCCCAATTCTTGAAAAAAACCCGCAAAACAGCGCAGCCTATCAGTCCTAGGTTTCCGTAACCTAGGATGGGGGCACAAATTCCAATGACCTTATAAATAGGGAGATTTTCCCCACTTTGGGAGCAACATTCAATTATTGAAAACACTGAATTCTCTAGAAAACTGTGAAAAACAACTGATCTCGGAATCCGAGAAGATCCCACTTTACTTTTCGCACTTTTTTACATTCTCCGCACACGTTCTAACTTGATCGTCGGAGGTGGAACTCCAACCAACCGGAGTCTCAGTTGTTTTGAAGGTACAGGTGCCCGAAATCCAGACTTAGTGACGTAACTCTCCCGAGGGACATAGAAAACTCCGAAACATTTGGCGCCGTCTGTGGGGAGAGTAACTCTAAGATGGCTTCACAACAATCTGTGCCGCCTTCTAATGAGAAACGACCTACAACCAAAGCTGAGGTCTATTCAAACCATGATAGTGATGACAACTTTGAAGTTGAAACATATGTGGCCGCTGATGGGTCACTGAGAACCAGACGCACCTGTCCCAAGGAAAGAAGAGAACGGGGCGACGATCAAGCTGGTCCAAGTAAGTCATCCGGTTAGCCATCTGGACAACACCAGGCGGCGGAAGGCACAGCCCCAGGCACTCGAGACGAACTCATGAAATTCATGACAAGTTTTAAGGGGGAAATAAAGGACCTTATCAACAAGAGGACGACTGGCTCCAACAGGGCTCCGTCAGCCAAGAAGCCAGCTCTCTTTGAGAAGAACAAGCCAGTCAGGGACTGAGAGCCCACTCCGCATCCTAAATCAAAGGAGGGGAAGCAACCCTTAATTAATCTTTATAAGATCCGATTCCCTGAGACAAGGAAAAGGAAGGTTATCTGGCATGTTCAGCCGGATGGCTCAAAGAAGACATACTCTGATGCTCGGTTCCTAATCAAGGAGAAGAGAAACCAGCAACTGTCTGAGTCGGCTTCACCGTCGAGCTACCCAGACAGCTTCTAGAATACCTCAACGAGAGAGTCAGTCTGGCGGCCTGTCCGTTTACACTGCCCTCAGATGATCCATTCGGCCCTGTATGTGCCTCAGCAACCATACATGTTGTATGGACAACCTTATATGCAACCGACCCTCTTTGGGGGTCAAGCGGCACAAAACGTCCAGCCTTTGGACTGGCAGCTCCGTCTGCTAAAACTTGGGGAACAACCTTCTGCGTTCTCCAAGGAGATAACCAAGGCAGCATAACCGGCCAAGGTTAAGAATTTTTTGGTGGGTAATTATGATGGTACCACTAACCTTGAAGACCACCTCATGGCCTACACCAACCTCATGTACTTCCAGGGGTTGGATGACGTCACCTGGTGCCGACGCTTCCCGGCTACATTGAAGGGCATCGCCCGACAATGGTTCGGTAATTTGCCGGCCGACTCCATCAATAGCTTCAAGACGCTTGTGTTCTTGTTTGCTTCTTACTTCTCTGTGAATATCCCTACCAAGAAAATAAGTATTGACTTGGGTGTAGTGCAGCAAGGAGATAGAGAAGGGCTACGATCATATGTCATGCGGTTTAATTTAGTGAGAATCTAGATTCAAGGGATGTCTAACGATGTGGATTATACAGACTTCTTCAAGGGTCTGAAGTGAAAGGAATGGTGTCCTTCCAACAAGTGTAATCTTCCGATAGAGGGTTCAGAATTATTACGGAGCTAATTTTTCAATAAGGTCAAGTGATCGAAATTCCTAGGTGGAGGCCGCTTCCGATCAGTAATATCAATGTACAATTGGTGTTACAGCTTAATCTTAACTGAACCCTTCAGGTCGAACCCAATCGAATCATCGATTCGAGACGACGAATTAATCCGAAAGGATTTAATGAGTCAGCAGAGTTTTACGAATACAGACGTCGGATATCGAGCGTGTGTGTGTGTACGTGTGCGTGTGCACCATCGCCCAACAGCCTCGCAATGCAGCACGGAGCTGTGTGCTTGCGTGCGTGCCTTCGCATGGCCGCACCAAGCACAGCGAGCTAGCATGCAACACTGGCCTTGCAAGTGTGTAGGCACCATCGCAGGCCATGCACCAAGCATAGCGCACCTATGCGTGTGCGTGTGCGAGTGCTAGTGCGTAACTGGCCTGGGTGTGCGTAGCTATGCGAGAGGCGATGCCCAGCATGCGTGGCTCGCTAGCAGCACGCATGCTGGGTAAGCATATGCATGTGGGTGCGATAGGGAGTGCTAGGCAGCCAGCAGCGCCTAATGCCTAGCAAGCCGCAGCATGAGCATCACCCAGCACAGCAACATGCAGCGTGCATGGCTGGCTGGGCTGATGCTTGCTGCCTTGTGCTAGTTGGCTGGGCTAGCTGGCACGCTAGCTGGCTGCCAGCCAAGCAGCCCTTAGTGGCGGTTTTGTGAGGAGAGTGAGGACTAAGGCTTAGAGCCATGCCTTGGGGAGCAAGGCAATGGTCCCCCCCAAGGTTCATGGTCCTCACCTAACTCTCTCTACCCTTTTGCCACTTGATGCCTTGTGATTGCTTTGGCTTATTTATTTATTTTGGAATTAAATAAATTATTGCATTTGCACATGATCCCACATTGATCATGAAAAGGGGGTTCAAGTCCCCATTCTCTATAAATACCCACTTGATTGGGATTTTGAGAATACAACCTTGAGTGGAATTAAAAAGGCAACTCTAAGTAAGAGTAAACCTTTGATTCGTAAAACTCATAGCTATTTTGTGCGGGCCTTGACTAACCTTCAAGACTTAGGACGCTCGGGTCAGGTCGAGGGTACGATCCGTCGGAGATCTCGTGTTTTCGGGATTTTGAAGTAAGAGCTCTTTGGGAGCGAAGCACGCGACAAAGATATAATTCTTGTTCTTAATCTTGTTTGATTAAGTTTAATATGCTTGTTAATTGTTTTAAATAAAGGGCGGGTCTTGGTGGGTTTCCTTCCGCGTAGTGTCGAGTCACTACGAAACCCTACATGAAGGACTGATCGACTTTTAAGTTTGACCTCGTCAGAAAAAGGGTTGCCACCCTCCAGGAAGCGCTGATGGAGGAAGAAGCCTATATACAGGCAACCGAGCTCTGCTCCATCAGCAAGCAGTCAGACTCTAAGAAGTCTGACAAAAAAAAAAAAGTCAGCAAGCTCAGCCGGCTAAGAAAGCTGAAGAGAGTAAGAAGAGAAAAGAGATCTGGGCGGTTGACGATTCTGATCAGCTGTCCCAAAAGAAAAAGAAAGAGTTTAAACCGTACGTCCCAAAGTATGAGTTTAACAAAGATTGCTACTCCATCCTCATGGAGATAAAGGACCAGGTGACCATAGAGAAGCCCGCTGTTATGAAAGGTTCCGCCAAAAGCCAGAACAGAAACAAGTATTGCCATTTCTATGAGGATATTGGCCATAACTCCAACGACTGCTATAGTCTCAAGCGGCTGTTGGACCGTCTGGCTGATAAGGGGGTGTTGAAGTCTTACATCCTGAAGTCTAAGGTGACCCTGAAGACAAACCCCGGGCAGATGTCCAAAAAGGATGCCTAACCTGCTAGTAGTTCGGACACTGACAAAGAGTCGATCTACACAATAGCAGGCGGCTTTGCTAGAGGGGCCCCAACCATTAGGGGCACCAAGGATCATGTCAGACGGCTAGATATCAGTTTAGGTTATAAGGGCCTAGCGTCTACTGATACCTTCCCTGAGGTCATCATCACTAAAAAGGACAGGGGCAAGGTCCGCCGACCGCATGATAACCCCATTGTCATTGAGTGCAAAGTGGCCAACCAGAAGGTCGGCCGGATCCTCATTGACATCGGAAGCTCGTTTGACATCATCAGCTACAAGTGCTTGTCAAAGCTGAAGTACAAGCCCGGCAGCATGTACAAGTTGTTTCACTCCTTGGTTGGTTTTGGGGGTGGGGTTGTGCACCCGGTTGGACGAATTGACCCACCTATCCGACTGGGGGAGAAAGGAGATGGATGCCAAATGTTTGTCCGGTTCTTGGTCGTAGAGGAGTTGACCGTCTATAATCTAATATTGGGTCGTCTGACTCTGAACAAATTCGATCCAAGGCCGTAATTATTCCATCCCTCATGTTGTTGAAATTTGAGAAGGATGATGGGTCCGTTGGCTCCCTGAACGGGGATTAGAAGATGGGTAGAAAGTGGTACCTCTCAGACGTCAAGACCACAGTGGCCGCAGCCGGCCAGGGAAAGGAGCCAATAGACCTTAAAGATGTCAAGGAAGCCAAGCCTGCTCAAACTGCAGCTGGCAAGAAGAGAAAGGCCGACCAGCTGGTGGCCTTGAAGAAGGAAAGGCAATAGCAATCACTGACCAAGGAACGGTCGGATGAACTCCGTCCCCGGCGGGCTGGTGAACACACTGAAATTACTCTGGACGACACACGTCCGGAGCGTACAATTAAGGTAAGGACGGTTGCTTTTGCGAAATTGGGTGCAGACTTGCACAATTTGTTAAAAGAATTCAAAGACATCTTTGCCTTTGAAGTGAAAGAGATGTCAGGCATTAGTCCGGATCTAGCTGTCCACAAGCTCACCGTGGATCCCAAGAAGAAGCCGATTAGGTAAAAGAAAAGAAACCACAACGAGGGGAGAAGTCAGGCGGCAGCCGCCAAAGTGAAAAAGCTATTAGACGCCGGGTTCATTCGGCAGTGTCACTTCCCAGATTGGGTTGCGAATGTTGTGCATGTAAAAAAGCCGAATGGTACCTGGCGCATGTCTACTGATTACACTGATTTGAACAAGGCATGTCCGAAGGATAGTTATCCACTTCCAAAGA